CCAAATTCAGACATAGCGGCGTATAGGCAACTCCTTTTAGTGCTGTCGAAAGCGCCTTAAAGCCGACAAATAGGTGGCGAGTGTCGATTCTTTTCTCTCGGGTCTTTTCCAAGATTTGGCGTATTGTGAATACCTGATCGATTGTGGATTTTCCAGGCCTAAAGCCACTTTGATAAGGCCCAATCAGTTCGTTGACGGTAGGCTTCAGTCTTTCACACAATACGCTCAATAATACCTTATAGCCTATGTTTAGAAGGCTGATCCCGCGTAAGTTGGCGCAAATGGCGGAATTAGTGAAAGTGGATTTTGTGAAATTGGACCCTTCGAACATTGTGTTATTAATACTATGACAGAGAACACGCAGTATACGTCGCATGAATATGCGGATATTCACCTAATTTACGGTGAAGCTTGCTGTAATGCCAGAGCTGCTCAAAGACTCTATGCAGAGCGATACCCCAATCGTCGACATCCGGGTCGAGAAGTATTCGCCCGGACCCATAGAGAAATATATGAAGGTAAGTGATTTTTACACCTTTCTTGTTTGCTTGCTTGTTAACTATAATTTTTCACTTTTTTAAGGTCGCATACCTGGAAGGCCTGGCGGCGAAACAGGACGTCCTGCAACGGTAGATGTTGAAGCTGTGTTAGAGGAAGTGGAACTAGCTCCATCGACTTCAGTGAGAATGATGGAAAGACGGACGGGAATACCAAAAACTACAGTTCACAAAGCTTTAAAAGACCATCGATTTCATCCCTACCACATTCAACGTGTTCAGGCTCTACAGGAAAGAGATTACCTGTCGAGGGTTAGATTTTGCCGTGAAATGTTGCGAATGCATGAATCAGACCCCAACTTTTTTAATAAAATAATTTGGAGCGATGAATCATCATGCAAACGTGATGGTTATTTTAATTTACATAACCTTCACAGTTGGCAGATATACAATCCTCACGAAATGAGAGAAGATCGTTCGCAGTACCGGTACAAAATAAATTTATGGTGCGGTATTTTTAATTGTCAGATATTGGGACCTGTGGAACTGCCGCCAACGCTCAACTCTCACAGTTATTTAGAGTTCCATCAGGAACGGCTTCCAACTCTTTTGGAAGATGTACCCTTAAACCTGCGGCGAAGACTATGGCTGCAAAATGACGGGTGCCCTGCTCACTACGGGCGTGAAGTAAGAGCTCATTTAGACGAAACTTATCCTCGCCGATGGATTGGACGATACGGGCCAATCACGTGGCCCGCTAGATCGCCAGACCTGAATCCATTAGATTTTTTCTACTGGGGCTGTCTTAAGGACAAAATTTATTCAAAAACAATTCAAAACGAAGAGCATTTGCGGGAACAAATAAATGGAGCTGCTGCTGAGATAGCCCAATTGAGTTTAAGATCTCTAAAAGCGTCTTTTCTTAAAAGGTGCCGAGCTTGTATTAGAGTAGAAGGTCGCCAATTTGAGCATATTTTATCAATAAATGAATAAATTGCTCTTCAAACGACTCATGTATATTTTATTTCACGTGAATCCATGCTTCACAAAAAAATATTGATAGATATAGCCCTTGTTATAGACTCTAGTCCGAATTCCGGTAAGTAACACAAAATAATGTCAGGAGCAGGTAATAATGTACCTTTGTACTATTTAGCATGTCATTTGACGGTAACAAGAGCAAATTCAATTTAAATCTATTAAATACAT